TATTTATAAAAAGCCCTCACTGATATGATAAAAAAAGGTTTGCATTACCAATAAAGTTTCATGGTTAATGCGTTAATGCAACAAGTTCCAGGACATCTAAATCATTGGCTTCTGTGTAATTATTAGGTTTGGCATGGTATGTTCAGCATGTGAATTACTTATAACATAGTTACTTATAACATTATAACATAGATAGACGCTCAGTAGGCAAAAATAACAACAACAAAAAAAAGAGTGTCCACAAATATTTGAAAATCAAATTAAAATGTTTTTAAATATATTTTTCAAGTAGAAAGTATTTTATTTACAAATATCATGAGTTAAATAGTTTATAAATGACCATAAGCTTTAGGGAGTCACACAAATGATATTCTGCTACCTGAACTAGCCTTGCTTTGCCATAAAAACGTCAGATGTATTGACCTTGATCATGGGGGTCTAGAACGGTCCTCTCTACAACATCAGTAGACCAAATTTCTTAAAAAATTAATAAATTAAAAGAATTCTTAAAATGATTTTGTTATACATAATAAAAAATAAGTCTCACGCAATCACAAGCATCTCCAAAAAACACATTATTTTCCACATACTGTACATTATTGTTTCTCCTCTATGCCCAGCCTTTCTGAAACGCGTTGATTTTTACAAAGCTCATCGGTCTGAAAAAGCGAGGTGTGCTCTGATTGGCCAGCTATCCAGTGCGTTGTGATTGGCCGAATACCTCAAGCGTCTGACAGAAATGTTACGCCCCTTAACATACTGTGATGATGCCCTATCCAGCCGGAGCGATGATTCAAAAACATGAAAACCCATTATAAACGAGGCATCTGTTGCATCCAGTGGGGACATAATTATGGATTATAATGACTTATACTGTCTTTTTACGCGTTGCGTTGCATTGCATTGCGCAGCGTAAACATAAAACCATGTCTGCATTTGTGATCAGAGAAATGACAAACAACAAGCCCTACTCTACACTGCCCAAAAAATATAAAATATAAAAACTCTTTAAATATAAAAAACGTACTTACAGTCTGTGAGTCAGAATAGCCGTCATTGTAGTCTACTCTCCCAGGATCAGGAAACTGTCCTCCATAAAATGTGCTGCACACATCTGAATATTTGGGTTGAACTGTTCTGGAACAGTGTTGTAAATACAACTTAACCACTGATTTCTAGTCATGTTTATTTTTGGAAGGTCAAACAAAGTAGTTTCGCTTTCACAACGAAACACAGCGTCACACACGGCGGCCTTGAGAGAGCAGAGGCCAGGGAATAAAGTGAGGAACGGCCGGAGGGCTAGTGTGAGCAGAGGCGGCGGATTCGACGAAGGAGCATCCGGCGGGCTTGCGGCAACCACATGTGACGACCCTGGACTAGACTCCGCTTCGTCCACAGTGAAAGCTGATCCGGTGATCCCCAGTGCGAAGTTGTTGTATTTCCTCAGCAACCAGCACGGATCAGCTCTAGGCATGGTGAAGCAGATATCGTCCTCTTTTGGAAGGCCAAACAAAGTAGTTTCGCTTTCACTACGAATCACACAGTGCCTTCACGACATGGTGGTGGCAACAACAATACTATTATGGCGTTATGCAAATCAATACGGCGTTATGCAAATCTTCCCACATCGTGACGTAGACATGGGGGCGTGTTAGAACGAGCCGTTTTAGGAAGGCGTGGCTGACTCTTAACTCTTATGAAGAATATCTCTTTGGATTTGAGACTTTAGTCTTTGCAACTTTACAGATCTTCTTTATGCACCAAGAGCTTGTAACCCTCCAAAGAGAAAGGAAAAATTGAAATCGCATCATATGACCCCTTTAAGGCACCAAGTTCACACTTACTGGAGCTTTACCTGGCAGTTAAGGAAGCATGTGTTCTCTGACACCGTGTAAACAATTACAACATAACTACTCTTATCAGCTGGACCCAAAGCTTTGTCTGTGTTTGAGAAGCAGGAAAAGTCTAACAAAAAAATGAAAGCTTTTATTACATCCCATACTGTCCCCTCTAAGGGACACTTGGCATCTCCAAAGCCCCCAAAACAGCTGACACACATCAAAGTATGCTGGGTAAGTGTTTATGCTTTGGGAATATGACCACTGTCACTATGTACGCAGTGCTGATTGGTCATTTTGGATATCTAGGGAGCATTTATGATGTCACATGGTCAAAAATAGGATGAAAAAGATGGGGGTTCTCTTGTCTTTTCATTTTGGTCATTGGATCAGGCTTTTGACCACACTCTCCCTCTTTTCTCATGGTATCTTATTACATGTGGTTCTTCTAAGACCACATTAACTTTCTGTTCCCAACTCTTTTAATAAATCAGGAACATTTTTTCCCTAAGTTTTAAGGTACCAAAAAATCACAACGTTCTTTTGTCACTTCAGCCCAACAGACATGTCCAAAACGAAGACCACTGTAGTGCAAACAGCCGATGTGTGTGTGTGTAAATACATAAAGCAGCTGACCAACATCAGTTAAAGAAGCAGCAGAAATCTGAGCTAATCCCAATAAAGTCTGTCTCTGAGGGTTTAGCACTGCTGATTACACACACACACACACACACACACTTGGCACAAGCGTTTTCATTATATAATCCATCCTCAACACCCTGTTAATCAATCACAAAACCAGAGATGATCAAAAAACACTACTCCAGCCTTGAATCTCACAATAAAGTGTATATTTTTTGTAAATAAATTAAAAAGTAATTTAAATTTAAACCCCTTTTTTTTTTACTTATTTAAAAATAAAAGTATTATAATTATAATCCACAAAAAATAATGACAAATTGGTTATGTTCTTCTACTGTACTGTAAGTCACTTCAGATAACAATTATTGCTAAATGCATACATGTTATACATGTATTATTTATTATAATATAATATATAATATGCACATTTTTACACCTGTTTGTTTACGCAACCATGACGTTTCAAGAAATGCTTTATACATAAAATGCCTTTATACATTTTTTTAACAATTTGTAAATAAAAATATTCTAATTATTTTTCAAAACATTACGCACAAATAATCCCACATTGTTTATGTTCCTCTGTTTTAATATACTTTGGATGAAAAAGACTTTTAAATGTATAAATGCAAAAAAATAACTAAATAATATCATTTTAAATACACATAATATAATATAATAATTTTGAATGCACACATTTATACCTGTTTGTTCGCCCAGCCATGACTGATAAATCACCTTTATCCATTCCTAATCATTTTAAAATAAAAATATAATATTATTTTTCCAAATATTATGCAAAAAAAAAAGATAAATGTTCCCCTAATGTAAATCACTTTGGATAAATATGACTGCTACATGCATAAATATAATAATATTTTTAAATGCACATTTTACACCTGTTTGTGTGCCCAACCATGATTGATTAAAAATAATAATAATAATTCACGCTTTATACATAAAATACCTTTATGTATCATAACCTACAACACTCAGAGGCTTAAAAAGGTCAAAGAACAAAAGACTGCCTGGTCAAATCAGCATTCAAGAATGTAAATATCCGTTATCGAGCTGGTCATAAGCAAATAAGAGTCTAATGGAGTCAGATGGTCAATGAGGAGTTTCTGCAACCCCCACCTCCATCCCCACCCACACTCACAACAAACCATTTGAGTATACTGGGCCATAGTACCAGCTCATATTTATTGTAAAAACATGTATAGGCTACTTACATTGCACTTTGGCATTTGTATTTTCAAACTGTGATTTTAGGAGTTTTTCCATTCGATTTGCTGTCACTTCAATTGCAATTGTTACTGACTTAATGAAGCCTTGATCTGTGCCTTTTGAGCATGTAATTACAGTAACTTCTCATAACTACTCCTTTTCATAACATCCAACTCATCCAGTCTTTCCAGTTTAACCCAAACTACAACTCGCATTTCAGTTTTGCACCTAATCAAATAAAACCTCAGCCGTTAGTTATTGAAAAATGATCTTTTCAAGTCAGCGCGACAGGATAATGCAAACTCACATTCTGCCAGTAAGTATATCTAGACTGGTTGCGGAGTACATATGACTTTCCACAGAACACTGACATTTATTTGACCACGCAAAAAGCCAGAAGAGGAAACAAGAGACTTCAAAAACGAAAACTTCACATGTGTAAAACAGACAGGATGTGACCAAACCAACAGTTTCTATGGTTTAACAAAATGGGTTTTGCTATTTTGGCCAATACTGATATTTACAAAGATTGACGGCCAGTATCAGATGCACACAAAATACTTATTTTACCAAAATTCATAAAATACTTATTAATTGACAAGGCTGTCTGTAAATCTCAAATTGACTAAAAATTGGCAGAATAATCAGTCTAGCCAATATATTGACCTAGTTTTTATATTTTGCAGTAAACCCTATAACATTAATAAATGTAACCAATATTTGAGCAATACTTCGCTGTAAGTTCTCTCTACATTTTATGAGCTCAGGCCCATCTTGAAGCATTTTTTCTGGACAAATTCACATCAAATATTGTGATAATAACCTAATTTAAACAAGATCCTGAAGGGATGGAAAATTAACCTTGAGGTGACAGAATATCAGAAGGTCATCTAACCCCAAACACTTACTCTCAGCCTGAAAATCCAACATTTTACTCAGAGACGATTGTTAAACAGTTTTGAATATGAATGAGTCCCAATAGAAAGCCAAAGGTCACATCAAGCATATCATTTCTAATAACAAAGCCAATAAAATCATTATCTTTCACGGAAGACGACAGTATTCCAGGCTCAAATAGAACAACTGTAATATAGTTAAAGTAAGAAAACAAAAATGATCAATAAAAAGCTAATTGTACACTTGCAGGATGGACCACGAATGACTGAGAATGAAAACAAAGCGCCCCACATCACGCAGTTTTCCGGCAAGCGATGAGCTCGTAACAAACGCAGCCGAAAGCCGAGCACACTTCAGCCCGAGCCTCTTCATCACAGCCCGCGTGCGAGAACTCACCTTAAAACAGAAGAAAAGCGTGTTTCCCACGTATTTAGAGCTGGAGTAAATCCATGGCGGTGCTCCGGCGGCAGCGCAGCGGTCGAGAGCGCTGAGTGAGCCGCAGTGGAGTGAGTGAAGGCGGCGCTTAGAGACTCACAGCAGCACCTGCTCCACTGATCCGCCCCGGAGGCAGAGCCACAGTCAAGGGTTACGGACCTCCTACTGACGGGGGTCATGTCACGCCGGGCGAGACAGATAGCGCTGTGTGTGTGTGTGTGTGTGTGTGTGTGTGTGTGTTCTCGAAGGAATGCTGCATGTAAATGTTGTACATTCACAAACACAAACATCTCTGCGCTATAGGCTGCTAGAGGCTATTCTTCTATATACGGTTTGCCGCCGTTTAATTTGATTCACTATAGTGTTGCAAAAAAAAAGCTATTACAAACAAATTACAAAATCATCAAAAATGTAAACAATCACCTTTTATTCAAATTTTATTTTAGGATGAAAAAACTATTAGGGATTTTAAGGGAAAATGCAATAAGGTTAATTAATGCAGCGGAAGCTTTTTTCGCTTCCGGAGGCGTGGTTATTATCACCTCACTCGATTAATTCGCGATTAAAGGGGTCATATGGTGCGATTTCAAGTTTTCCTTTCTCTTTGGAGTGTTACAAGCTGATTGTGCATAGATAAGATCCCTGAAGTTGCAAAGATTAAAGTCTCAAAACCAAAGAGATATTCTTTATCAAAGTTAAGACTCTGCCACATAATAATAATTCACGCTTTATACATAAAATACCTTTATGTATCATAACCTACAACACTCAGAGGCTTAAAAAGGTCAAAGAACAAAAGACTGCCTGGTCAAATCAGCATTCAAGAATGTAAATATCCGTTATCGAGCTGGTCATAAGCAAATAAGAGTCTAATGGAGTCAGATGGTCAATGAGGAGTTTCTGCAACCCCCACCTCCATCCCCACCCACACTCACAACAAACCATTTGAGTATACTGGGCCATAGTACCAGCTCATATTTATTGTAAAAACATGTATAGGCTACTTACATTGCACTTTGGCATTTGTATTTTCAAACTGTGATTTTAGGAGTTTTTCCATTCGATTTGCTGTCACTTCAATTGCAATTGTTACTGACTTAATGAAGCCTTGATCTGTGCCTTTTGAGCATGTAATTACAGTAACTTCTCATAACTACTCCTTTTCATAACATCCAACTCATCCAGTCTTTCCAGTTTAACCCAAACTACAACTCGCATTTCAGTTTTGCACCTAATCAAATAAAACCTCAGCCGTTAGTTATTGAAAAATGATCTTTTCAAGTCAGCGCGACAGGATAATGCAAACTCACATTCTGCCAGTAAGTATATCTAGACTGGTTGCGGAGTACATATGACTTTCCACAGAACACTGACATTTATTTGACCACGCAAAAAGCCAGAAGAGGAAACAAGAGACTTCAAAAACGAAAACTTCACATGTGTAAAACAGACAGGATGTGACCAAACCAACAGTTTCTATGGTTTAACAAAATGGGTTTTGCTATTTTGGCCAATACTGATATTTACAAAGATTGACGGCCAGTATCAGATGCACACAAAATACTTATTTTACCAAAATTCATAAAATACTTATTAATTGACAAGGCTGTCTGTAAATCTCAAATTGACTAAAAATTGGCAGAATAATCAGTCTAGCCAATATATTGACCTAGTTTTTATATTTTGCAGTAAACCCTATAACATTAATAAATGTAACCAATATTTGAGCAATACTTCGCTGTAAGTTCTCTCTACATTTTATGAGCTCAGGCCCATCTTGAAGCATTTTTTCTGGACAAATTCACATCAAATATTGTGATAATAACCTAATTTAAACAAGATCCTGAAGGGATGGAAAATTAACCTTGAGGTGACAGAATATCAGAAGGTCATCTAACCCCAAACACTTACTCTCAGCCTGAAAATCCAACATTTTACTCAGAGACGATTGTTAAACAGTTTTGAATATGAATGAGTCCCAATAGAAAGCCAAAGGTCACATCAAGCATATCATTTCTAATAACAAAGCCAATAAAATCATTATCTTTCACGGAAGACGACAGTATTCCAGGCTCAAATAGAACAACTGTAATATAGTTAAAGTAAGAAAACAAAAATGATCAATAAAAAGCTAATTGTACACTTGCAGGATGGACCACGAATGACTGAGAATGAAAACAAAGCGCCCCACATCACGCAGTTTTCCGGCAAGCGATGAGCTCGTAACAAACGCAGCCGAAAGCCGAGCACACTTCAGCCCGAGCCTCTTCATCACAGCCCGCGTGCGAGAACTCACCTTAAAACAGAAGAAAAGCGTGTTTCCCACGTATTTAGAGCTGGAGTAAATCCATGGCGGTGCTCCGGCGGCAGCGCAGCGGTCGAGAGCGCTGAGTGAGCCGCAGTGGAGTGAGTGAAGGCGGCGCTTAGAGACTCACAGCAGCACCTGCTCCACTGATCCGCCCCGGAGGCAGAGCCACAGTCAAGGGTTACGGACCTCCTACTGACGGGGGTCATGTCACGCCGGGCGAGACAGATAGCGCTGTGTGTGTGTGTGTGTGTGTGTGTGTGTGTGTGTGTTCTCGAAGGAATGCTGCATGTAAATGTTGTACATTCACAAACACAAACATCTCTGCGCTATAGGCTGCTAGAGGCTATTCTTCTATATACGGTTTGCCGCCGTTTAATTTGATTCACTATAGTGTTGCAAAAAAAAAGCTATTACAAACAAATTACAAAATCATCAAAAATGTAAACAATCACCTTTTATTCAAATTTTATTTTAGGATGAAAAAACTATTAGGGATTTTAAGGGAAAATGCAATAAGGTTAATTAATGCAGCGGAAGCTTTTTTCGCTTCCGGAGGCGTGGTTATTATCACCTCACTCGATTAATTCGCGATTAAAGGGGTCATATGGTGCGATTTCAAGTTTTCCTTTCTCTTTGGAGTGTTACAAGCTGATTGTGCATAGATAAGATCCCTGAAGTTGCAAAGATTAAAGTCTCAAAACCAAAGAGATATTCTTTATCAAAGTTAAGACTCTGCCACACACCCCTAACACGCCCCCACATATCTACCTCACTATGTGGAAATATTTGCGTAATGCAGCCCAAATCTGCACGCAAAGAAAGAAGGCGTGGTTTCAGTAACCGCAGTTAGTGTTGAAGCAGCCATGTCAGGGAGACGCTGTGTGTTTCTGGGCGAAAGCAGAAGCACTTTATTTGACTGGAGACTGTTTACTGAGAGAGATTATTGCGATATTTATTCGTAATCGATTCACAGCATTAATTTAAAAATATTATAACACAACATAATATAATAACATATTATATGTGTGTGTATTTATAATACAGTGTGTGTACACACACACACACACACACACACACACAAATAATAATTTAAATACTTAAAATAAACCATTTAATTAAAATCTAAAGTAAAATATAATTTAAATAATTTTAAAACATATAGTTTAATTACATGATATAATGTAAGGAAATAATTTAAATAATTAAACGATATAACTAAATTATATATATAAATCTAATAATTTTTATATATTTATATCAAATTTTATGAAATAATGATTTAAAAGATATAATCTGATATACAACATAAATATAAAATATAACTTATATATAACTTGTTCTTCAAATATAACATAAAAAACATACAAACATAATAAATAATAGCCCACCAGAATTAATTAGAGTAGGCTATACAAGATTTGCTACCACAATAAATGCAAAAAACATCCAGTATTTGCTCAAAACTCTTGTCTGTAAAATAAATATTACACATTTACTTTATATAAGAATAATATTTCTAACAAAGACTATATTTAAAGACTTAGATTCATGAATCTTAAACAATAGAATCCCATATGAAAAAAACAAGCTCACTCTACAGTAAATAATGCAGTTATTTATGCAAAATAAATGAAGATGTAAAAATGATGATGCAAATTCCATTGTGTGTGTGTGTGTGTTTGTGTGTGTGTACCTGGTATTTATCACGTTATGGGGACCAAATGTCTCCACAAGGATAGTAATACTAGTAAATTTTGACCTTGTGGGGACATTTTTGAGGTCCCCATGAGGAAACAAGCTTAGAAATCATACAGAATGAGTTTTTTTGAGAAAGTAAAAATGCACAAAGTTTCCTGTAAGGGGTAGGTTTAGGGGTAGGGTTGGTGTAGGGCAATAGCACATACAGTTTGTACAGTATAAAAACCATTACGCCTATGGAATGTCCCCATAAAACATGGACACACAACATGTGTGTGTGTGTGTGTGTGTGTGTGTGTGTGTCTCTCCCTCTCTCCCTCTCTCCCTCTCTCTCTCTCTCAGAAAGACAAGATAAGGAAGTGTTTACAACCTGGCACATATAAGCCTCCATTTCCAACTGATTTTGGGCGCACACACACACACACACACACACACAAATAATAATTTAAATACTTAAAATAAACCATTTAATTAAAATCTAAAGTAAAATATAATTTAAATAATTTTAAAACATATAGTTTAATTACATGATATAATGTAAGGAAATAATTTAAATAATTAAACGATATAACTAAATTATATATATAAATCTAATAATTTTTATATATTTATATCAAATTTTATGAAATAATGATTTAAAAGATATAATCTGATATACAACATAAATATAAAATATAACTTATATATAACTTGTTCTTCAAATATAACATAAAAAACATACAAACATAATAAATAATAGCCCACCAGAATTAATTAGAGTAGGCTATACAAGATTTGCTACCACAATAAATGCAAAAAACATCCAGTATTTGCTCAAAACTCTTGTCTGTAAAATAAATATTACACATTTACTTTATATAAGAATAATATTTCTAACAAAGACTATATTTAAAGACTTAGATTCATGAATCTTAAACAATAGAATCCCATATGAAAAAAACAAGCTCACTCTACAGTAAATAATGCAGTTATTTATGCAAAATAAATGAAGATGTAAAAATGATGATGCAAATTCCATTGTGTGTGTGTGTGTGTTTGTGTGTGTGTACCTGGTATTTATCACGTTATGGGGACCA